AAAACACTTGCCTTGAAAACTGCAAGGACTCGTCCAAGCAGTCACTGCAAAATCAGTAATGACTGAGCGCAGAAAAAAAAAATGTTTTCCCTATCAAAAATAATTTGCAGGTATAATTTTAATAGGTAGGCTGGATCCATTGAGATAATGGCAGTACTAGTAAAATTATTAAGTATACTGTAGTCTGTTGGAAGCAGCAGAGGTAAGGAGACAGAAAAAACTTGGTGATCTACAGCAAAGATAAAAACTCTCCCAAGTGAAGCTCAGTTCCTGGCAACTACATGGTCAAGCTGATAGGATCGTGTCATGTAAGAAAGAGCTTTAAATCATCAAACAACCACTGTGATCCCTTTGCTGAGGGGCTTTAAGGGCAAAAGTGTTCACATTAGAAATAGAGTTGAAAAAACTTTACCAGTCTTCTTTGGGATTGTTTTTAACAATGAAAAGTGGATATGTGTATGAGTATGTAAAACTGCAAGTCTGGTAGGAGTGTTATATGGATCATCAAGTCAGAGTGGGTTGGAATAATTTTCAGTGCTTATGGTTGATGGGGATAAGACACGTGAAGGTGTTCACCTAAATCTCAACCCTTGCCTCAACCCAAAGGCTGCTTCAGACGTACGCTTTACCTCAGTTAAACAGAACAGTTTTCCCAGGCTGCAATGGAGGAGAACAGTATGGAAAATCCACAACTCCTCCTCAATTCCTGTTACCCTTGGAGATAAACCAGATCAGGAAACAAATGCCACAAGAAATACTAGGATTACTTTATTGATATAAGCTATAATAATAGAATCTTGAAAACCTGCCAGTGTTTCTTCTTCCCTCCCTCTTAAACCAAAGAGAGTCAAGGCAGAGCACTGATGAGTTTCTTTCTCACACCTTCCTGTTTTCCCAGGCTAAATTCATGTCTTCCCAGTGGTTGCCACATATTTTCTTTAAGGCCATCTCTGTACTCCTCTACGCTCCTTGATAATATGCTAATTGGCAGACAAGGGAATATGCTTTTACAAGAGTCTGTTGGTTTCACTGATTAGAAATCTACTGAAGTGCATATCACTGGCTCCTTGTGTGCTAAGGGCAGTAGGAATCATGTGATCTGAAATGGTGCACTCTCCATGCTGCTTTCTACTCCCACCCAACGATTTTGCTTTGGATCCAGAATTCAATAGGTCTGGCAGTACTTGGCTGAATTTGTCTGAGCTCTGAAAGCTAAGCAAGGTCTGGATCAGAGATCACCCAGGAATATCAGCACTACAGGCTACACTGGAAAGTTGCAAATATCAAAGGAAAAAACTCGAGTCAAATTTGTAATAGCAGAGTAAATGTTTATCCCAGCTTGCAAGTAAGAAGACAGCCTTTGTCTCTTTCTATGCATGCCTTCTAAGGTTTTTGTACATTCAAAGCAGCTAATTTGTAGCAGGATTTATTCAGCAAAACTACAAACATTCCTTCATTAACTTTTTCCTCTTATCAATACAAAAATCAATTTCCACCTCCTTCTGTTAATCCTTGAAGTTGGTAAACAAGCTCCCAAATTCTTACCCAAGAACTCCTTGAAAGCCAGATAATTCAGCACATACGACAATTCAAAAAGAGGCTATTCATAGGACAAGGTGGCTTCACTTGAATGCAAAAATGGCTATGCTCTGGTTTATTCACAAATAAGTTCCATAATTTTCCCAGAACTACATTCAATTCATACTCATTAAACAGAGGTCAGCACTATGTACATAGGCACATGCATATAAAAACACATGTTCCAAAGACAAGGAAAGTAAAAATCTTATACCTAAAAGAACCAAATAATCTTATCTGATAACTGCAGAAACCCATCCTTTAGCTTCTACCAAATCCATGAAGTTTTGGAGTTGCCTGGCTCATCCTCAGGTATCTGGCTAACAGTTCCTTTATAGCAACAGCCTCTCTACACAGGGGAAAATCAAATGGCAAAATATGGCTCGGTTTTGACAATTGTTCTCCTAAAATGGGATGGAAACATAGTGCAATGCTTCAGTGTTGTAACAAATGGCAGGTAATAGCGCATCTGTGTAACACTGTCCAGATCAATTAGCTGGCAGATGTTTGTGGGCACAGTTGCTATGTATGAAATAATATCCAGCCAGGACAGTAAATCCATTTGTACAGGAATGTTTATAAGTGAAAACCAGATGAAAATACCCATTAAGATTTGGGCTGCTACTAGACATAAATGTACCATTTCCCATGGTCAACTCCATTTTTCACGTGACCCACAAAAAGAGACCCATTACCTATCAAACCAAAAATACCCAAAGAGGAACCCAAATGTACTGTTTTATTGTACTCCACAATCTGCCAGGTTTGGTGGGGCACCTAGTTCCTTCTTAAAAGGTGCAGACAAATTAATTTCAGTGGGATTGTATATGATCGTTGGGATTCCCCCTAAAGAATTTATAAGAAGGTGTGCACAAATATTATTAAGGTTATGAGTAGAAGACAGGATATTTTTCAAAAACACATTAGCTTGTAAACTACCTACTATAAGGATAAATATGCTTGTAATAAATGTAGATACCCAGGCTGAGAGAGATGAAGCCATGGTAAAAATTAAAAATATTCCATCTAAACACACAAATTATATTAGCAAATATACTAGCAATTGTTCAAAAGTTCAAGGACTTACAAGATGTAGTAGTATCATAGTTGTTGCAAATACGTCAGCTGGAAGTGTTCTAGCAAAGTAAGGGTAGGAATCTAGCAAAAGTTGGAACTCTGTTTTGGGGAATGGAGTAAACATTATTCAGGAGTTAGCATATACAAAGAGAATTAAGTCCAGGGGGCAAAACTAATCTTCCAAGGTCTCTTAGGAACTGTGTGTTTTCCCCAGTTAGATTGGAGATTCTTCACACATTGAGGCAAATCCTCTTTGGCAAGGGAGAGCTTACTAGTGCATCATGTTGCGCCCCCCCCCTGCTTCCCACTTATGTAATAACTGGATATACCAGAATTGCTGTCAAAGATAAATTACTGCTGGAAAGGTCCTGGCAAGTGTTCTGTGAAGGCTGGAGTTTCTGAGAACATGTAGACAAAAGTGACTTTAGGATTCCAGTCTGTTTGGTGGACCTTGCAGAGATGCTTTTCAAACAGCTGTGTATTTATTGGGTTGGGCATCTATCAGTGGAGATGGAACTAGCTTAGCATACAGTGCGTGAATCCATGTTGGTAGAACTTGACACTAAATGGTAGTGGTCAGTAGGATCTGAGATGGACCTTCCCACCTGGGTTCAAGTACCAGCTTTTTGCTGAAAGCTCTTAAAATAGTCCCAATCTGCAAGGTTCAAGGGGTAGCAGAATCTGAGTTCCCCTGACCTGTGAATAAAACTTTTCATTAGTTTCTGACAATACTGTAGCATAACACCATCCACCAGGTGAATGTTGACATGTGCCATATTCAGTGATGGTGAGGCTGAACCCTCATTGGCCAATCAGTCAAAATTTCACATGGGTTTGTTTCGGTGGCTGCTCTTATGTTCATAGTACCAAAGGTATGGCTCTCAAAGTTCTTTCATCACCTTTTCATTCCCTTATTTTAAGCCAGGACAGTCAGATGATTTTTGTTTCAAAGAGCCTTTATGTTAATTTCATGAAGTACAAGATCAGTCCACCATTTATTTGGTGTCCTGAGACAACAGAATGTGTGCCTGTGGCCCTTCTTATTTATTGATTGCTTTTGTCAATAAGTTTGGAGAAAGCAAAAGTGCACTGAAGGCAGGGAGAGAAGCCAGGAGGGGGTTCCTTGGCATGATTGTCCTTGACACGTTATGACCTGGCTTCCTGTTTCTTCATACTGGTTCAACATTAACCCAGGCTAGACTGCAACAGTTCTTCGTCCATTTCATTTGCAGTTGTCCTGCAGTTAGGAGTATCCAAGATGGGGCAGGACAGAACCAGAATGCTGAAGACTCTTCTCCTTGCCGCCTTCTTTCACCTCACACTGAGTGACAGCGGTAAGGGATTGAAAGCATGGAGGAAGAGGGAGAAGTTGAAGGAAATTTGTCAGGTTAATTAGCCTTTCCAGAAGACAGCAGTCTTTGTGATCTAGAGAGTGAGCAGTTTAGGTGTCAGTGGGATTTCAAAGGAAACACAGAGTCATCCTATGACAATGCTGCCTGGGGAGAACAGCAAAGCTCAGGGTTCATTCTGTGACTGTCCTGTATGTGACGGAAAAGCTAGGAGATCAAGTGCCCAGGAGGCCTTTGTGGTACAAGAAGAAGCAGCGTCTTTCTAAAGAATGCCCAGCAGAGTGACTATGGCAGGCAATGGGAATGGCACCTGTAGAAATAAATTCATAGCTCTGCATATGACTCCCAACTAGAGCAGAGAGAGATTGGGGAGATATTGGGAAAAGTTTATGAAAGACAGGAAGAGAGCTACTTTTGAGATTTGTAGCCAAGCTGTGCTTTCTTTACTTTTTAATTTGGCTATGCATATTTTAAGAATACTCAAGAGTCACATCAGATGAAGCCTTTAAGTTTGCATTTTTCTGTGTTTGTTTTGTGATATTGACGGGAAAGAGGCCCCTTAATCAGTTCTTCCTGGTTGCCGTTCTTTCTTATCTTAATAGAAAAGCTCTTCTTTATACGTAACCAAAGATCCAAATGTTCTTCAATCTTTGAGGAGTTTGTGTACTGGTATTTCTAGGCAGATATTCCATCTTTCTTTTCTTAATGGAGTTTTGTTTTTAAGAAAGTCAGGAGAGGTGGTGGGAAAACACAAGAGAAGTAGAAATCCTGGATCCCCAGTATAAATCTTTGCGGTAAGGTGGCCCTTTGCATGATAAAAGCCTAATCTGGAAAGATTCCCTGTATGTAAGGGAGAATAATCATGTCTGAGCCTTTCTGGCTCCTTTTAGGTGCTAATGGTGCAGACTTTAGCCCGCCAAGCTTATGCTGCAATAAATTTGTTAGTTCTTAAATTCCTCTTCATTGTGTCTCTGGTATTTCTACCTAGGCTCTCTAGCTTCCTCTTTTTTTACTAGATAGCCATTTTTGTCTCACCATTCTCCAGAGCCTGTTCCTGAAGATGAGGTGGAGGTTCTGATATCTGAATTTGGAAAAGAGAAAACAAATGTCCCAGCATGTTGCATTAGGAGAGAACTACAAAGGTTAGATAAACAGACACTCAGCTTTGCCATCACAGTGACAGTCATGATGTGAGGGCGAGTAAACAGGTTTTTCTCTACAGATAGTAAGGGGCGGGGGGGGAGGAAGAAAATGCAGCAGAAAGATACTCTGGACGCATATGGGCTAACCTTTGATTTTATATTATGAAAGAAATGTGTTTCTGCCATCATAAGATCACAGTGTTCTGCTTTATACATTCACATTTGATTATGGTTAATAAAAATAATAGTACAACCATGAGATTTCTTTTAGAGGGCAATTCTGATACTTCCAGAGTGAACAAAATCCTCCTCTCTGCAAAATATTCACTAAACTCTTTGCTACTAGTCAATGATGAAGAAAACCTGATAGGAAAGAACAAATAACAAAATTAAAAAGGGAAGGGAATAGGAAAGCATAGTAAAATGGAAGATTTTTTTTTTCAGCTGTGTGAACACTAGATGAAAAATCAATTCTGAATTAAAGAAAGGTAATCTATCTGGTAATTTGACAGAATTTTCTGTGCTGCATGTTGATCAAGGATAGTGGAACTGATAAAGTGGTGCATTTAATTTCCAATTTGATAGTTCGAGCCTCCAGAGAGAAAAGTCACAGAGTTGTGGAAGTCTTTTTGGTGTCCCAGGCAGCACCAGATTTAGGCATAAGCTAAACAAGCTTAGGGCCTTGCAGTCTGTAGGGCCTCACAAAATTTCAGTTTGTTTGTTTTTTTGCTTTTAGAATTTTATGTGGCTTTGTATGTGTACTGTAATCCATGAGAAAGATTATAATCTATGAGAGAGATCAAACCAGCCAAATAATAAATATACAATCAGTAAATGGGTTTACTTCAAAATAATTTGTATTTTTCACTTTAAATATTTTGCTATTAAATAATTAAAAGGCATATATATGGTCCTCTTTTGGTACACACCTTTGTGGGACCTTCTGGTGCAACTTTCTAACAAGGGGCCTCCAAGCTTTATATAGCTTAGGGCCTGACTGTCAGGTTCAGCCCAAAGAACTCCACGAGACAGTACAGATCTAGTTCAATAGCTTTTATTAGCTTTCAACCACAAGACAGAATCCTGCCATATTGAATCTAAACTTCTCAAGCCAGCAAGTAAACACCGCAAATTCCTTAGGGTGGTGCCAGTCTCATCCTCTTAACCTTCCCATGCTCCTGCTGGGGGCTAAGGAAATGCTTGTCTCCCTGAGTGCGGCCTTCACCAAACCATTCCATCACACTGACCAAGTGTAAATCCAGGACTACAAGTAGTCCTCGCTTAGCAACCACAATAGGGACCGGAAAATTCATTGTTAAGTGGGGTGGTCATTAAGTGAGGCATCACATGACCGCACCCAATTTTACAGCATTGTTTGCAGCAGTCATTAAGCGAATCACATGGTTTCCCCATTGATTTTCCTTGCGAGAAGCCGGCTAGCAAGGTCACAAATGACAATTATGTGACCACAGGATGCTTCAACTGTCATAGGTGCGAGCTGGTTGCCAAGTGCCCAGACGGGGTCACATGACTATGGGGACGTTGTCATAAGTGCAAGGACCGGTCATAAGTTACTTTTTTCAGCACCATCGTAACTTTGAACATGTGAAGGGATGGTTGGATGAAGGCCGCGCTTGAGGAGATAAGCATTCCCTTAACCCTCAACAGGAGCGTGGGAAGTTTAAGAAGATGAGACTGGCACCACCCTAAGGAATTCACAGTGTTTTGGTTTGCTGGCTTGGGGAGTTGGGTTTAGTCGG